AGAAAACTTTACTCATGTCCTCTTTATTCTATAATTCAAATATTCTATAACCGATATGTACTCGATACCACCTATTTAATTTTCAAGCATCCCTCGTATGCAGGCGTTTCTTTGATTATCTTAATCTACAACATAAGTCTGCAGTGATTCAAGAGTATTATTAGAATTTTTATAAATCCTAATGTCCTAATTATGTACAATTCACCAGCGAACCCCATCTGTTGTCAACATTAAATAGAGTAAATAAAAAGTGAATATAAGTGTCATTGTAAGCCAGTTAGTCATGGTCAGTCTTAATATCTTTAATATCTGATAGTTTTGGTAATGGCTTAAGCTCTGGTAATAACAAATGTTTATATTCTGTAATTCACGATAGCTCTAGAGTCTAGAACGTAGCTCCTATTTCAACCAAGACTCCGGCAACATCAGCCATATCATGCCACATCTTGATTCTCTTCTAAAACGGGTGCAGTGTTCTCTCTCTTTCGTCCTAGTTAAAAATATATAACCACTGGGTGAGTGTGAGTTTTGGTAATGGCTTAAGTACTGGTAATAACAAATGTTTATATTCTGTAATTCACGATAGCTCTAGAGTCTAGAACGTAGCTCCTATTTCAACCAAGACTCCGGCAACATCAGCCTTAGTCGAACTGATGATGGAGCTGGACTCCGAAACGTTTTCAATATCGATATGGTGAATTTTCTTGGCGTTTTCTTTGCTTTTAAATTCCTTGCTTTCGTTCGTGATTTATACAGATATAGAAGAAACGACCAGCTTTTCTACCAGCCGATTTAACCAAGAGCCGTTTTAACCAAGAGCCGTTTACGTATAGCCGTATAACTCGCAAACGAAGGCAAAATTGAAAAAAAAATTGTAACAAGCTAAACATCACCGTTGCTGAGGTTAGGTATGTAAATACTAAGTTTCGTTCAAATCTGTTCAGTAGTTTGGAAGAAATTTCTTGATTACTGCGTATTTAAGCATGTATTGCTGTTTAAATCACGAATGAAGGTGAACTGAAAAAAAAAAACTCGCGAACGAAGGCACAATCGAAAAAATTTTCACCAACCAAGCATTACTGTTGGGTAGTTAGGATTGTAAATTCAAAATTTAGTTCGAATATGTTCAGTAGTTTGGAAGAAATTCCTTGATCACTTAGAATTTTGGCCCGTATTGCCATTGAACAATGGCAAAAACAAATGAAGGCAAAATTAAAAAAAATTTCACGAGCTAAACATTACCGTTAGGTCCTAATGAATACGTGTACCAAGTTTCATCCAGTTAAGTTCATTAGTTTGAGAGATATTCCATGATAGTTGAACTTAGAAATTGGACGTGAGACCGGCCGCGAGTCCGGCCGTTAATTTGTCCTAGACGTAAACCAAGGTGAAGTTAAAAAACAAATCTGGGGGAAAAAACCATCGCTGGGAGTCATGATGTGCTGCTCGTGTTGTATAAAAATCGTCAAACGAACTTTGGAACTTCTGACTTCGACTTCAGACTGCCGCCCCCCTACCGCCCCCCTACCTCCCTTTTCTTCCTTATCGCCCCCCAAAATCTTTCCATCGCCCCTAGGGGGCGATATCGCCCACTTTGGGAACCACTGGTGTAAATGGCTAATTGCTTTCTCCATTATTCATGTAAACGGCAAATAGGACTCCCCATTCTTCGTGTCAAATGTTAGATTGTTTCTCTACTTATTGCGTAAACGAAAGAATAGTTTATCCATTTATCATGTAAACGACAAATTCGCTTCTCCATTTATAACGGAAACAATATATTAGTTTCTCCATCTATTGTATGAACAGCTATTTAGTGAGCAATTATCTTCGATTGGGTTAGATAAGCCATCGATCGCTAACATTATTGTTACGGTGGGAATAAACTTTAAAAGCCTGATTTAAAATGATTTCTTATCGGAATAAATTATGAAAGCATTATAAATAAAGAAATTCAATTAAGGGTACGTTCTTACCTGATTCAGAAACAGAGGCAATCAAATTCAGATTTTTTCAAAAAATTTTAGGTCCAGCTCATAAATCCATTACAAAAATATTAAGGTCATAGGTACATATTTGTGGACGAAGGCAATAAGAGGATTATTAAATATGCTAGCAAAAATAGAAGGATATATTAGAAAGATAAATTCATCCATAGTTGCAATAAAAGTTCAACTTGATCGGAAGTAGTGAATAAATTATATAAAGGGGAAAAATGTTTGAGTTAATACCGTGTAAGATAAACTTATATTCCGATGAAAGTATCCGATACTACTGTTTGATGCAAATAATTAATTTGACTCATAAGTTCAAATTATATCAAAGTTTTACAGCCCTCGTTAGCATCTGCACTGCCTCGGATTTCAGAACAAATACATAATAAAGTTTCGGGCCCACTTAAATTCAATTTGACCGAATCACGGCTAAGGGCCCAATAATACCATAAAAACAAATATCATAAGTAAACTAAAGTGACTACCTAGAAAACTATAAAACCTATCGATTCACTATTTTAAGGTGGATGAGAACTATGCGTCATTGATGCAACTCAGGCAAGTTCCTTCGAATTTCGAAAAAAATATGCAGCGATTCTAAAATCCGTAGAATCGCTCATGAATGCCAGAATGAGAATGGTGCCTCCATGCTCCATCATTGCCAGCTCTGGTGGTTGGTTGGGAACTAATGACTCTACTATTGCTGCATATTTTAAAACGGTAATTATTTCTTACAACAATTACTCCAACCCCTATTCCTACGGTTTGCAAAATATTGATGTAAATAATTACTAATTCAGTCACCATTGTCGAGCAAACCAACTCACCTCCTTCCACCGTCACACCCAATGCTCGACTGAAATCACGGTGCGCGCTCACTTCTTATATCTTATTACTTTGAAGTTGTAAGCAAACCAACAGCGTACGATAACGAACGAACATTGCACGCGTTACATGCTCGTTGCATTACGTACGTCGTACGCCAAACTGCGTCCAAATATTGAGATAATATAAAGTATGACTAATGGATGTTGCTGAAGCGATGTGCGGTGCTGTTTCTCAACAAAGTAAATGAGTGAAAGCTTGAAATGATACATCATACATTATACTGTGTAGTTACTTTCACGAGGTGGGTTAGGGTTAGGGAAATAAGGAATTGGGTAAATAATTTCGAAGTATTAATTTGTGATTAAAAGCGTTGGAATAGTATTGACTAGGTAATTGAGCTGATTCAACGAGATTGGGCTTTACGAATGGATTATACGAGATGGTTTCACAACAGGAGGTCTAACGAGGGGATAAAGTAACTTTTGCGTCAACTTGGCAAATTCCAAATTATTTCAACTGAATGACTTTCATTATTATTTCAACTGATTATTTCAACGGATCATTCTACCTATAACTTCAAAAAAAATTCATTTTTACTCAATTTGAATGCTATAGGTTATAGGTAGTGGTTAAAGTTCAGAATATCAGCTATGTGCGCCAGTCCGGTCACTCAGCTCTGTGCACAGGTTAAGCAAAGCAGAATTGGAGCAGCGAGTTCGAGACCGCAACAAGCTGTGAATGTTCTGCGATGTTAAGAATCGGCGACAGGCCTAATAAACGCTGAAACCGCTATTATTGTTAAAAACAAGTTGTATATGCAAAATGTTTGCAAAACCGACTTCTTGCTAAGACCTAAAAGATCTCTGTCTGCAAGCCTAGAGTGATATTATCTGACGGAAAATCAATCATTTCCTAAACGGCGGTTTAATAACGGTACGATACCAGTATTATTTGTTCTTTTGTTTAATCAGTTCCCGGTTTCTGACTACATGAGCTACGTTCCTAACTACTTTCTTCTTATAGGAGCACTGGAAACTGGCTCGTGCATCGTAGATAGAACTACTTTCGATCAATTGGATAATTTTAGTCCGCATTTTGAATTGAAACGGAACGTGCCTTACACTTGACTTTATACAAAATCTTGACCAGGCATCGCGCATTCTGCCTGAGAGTTATCTTTTCAGGAGTCACGGGCCCAATACTTAATGATATTTCTCGTCGAATTAATTTTTTCAGGGTGACTGTTCTCGAAGAATTTCCTCATAAATGAGCGAGTTAATCTATAGGTCCTTGAATGCACATGTATCGCATTTGTTATCCTTCAGTATACGGAATGTTCCAATGCTAGTCGATAGTGGGTCCCATAGATAAGGGACGATACAGTGCTGCAATAACTGTTATCATGAGTGGCCGACGTTGTTGGCATGACGCTTCATTTTATGACGTGAACGATCTTATCCAGCTGTGGGTGTCGAGTCCTGACCCTACCAGCGGCAGGTGGTATTTTGATAGGCTTTAATGAGCCCATTTCAATACCACTGTTTCAAATATCATATGTTTGCACATTTTTGAATTTTTTCTACCTTAACAGTTGGCAATTTTGAAACGATTTGGGAAAATCAACTAAAATTCGTTTAACCGCTAAATTAGTGGAAAAAATCTGAACGGATTTAAAATGTGTCGATTTTTGCTGCACGTTTGTCGGCACATGTTGATCGCTTTGCTGCATTCGTTTGCAGCTAGGAAAAACGCAACGCCGCAATGGCGCGGATAAAGCGAAGCATTAGAACTCAAAATAGCATTCAATCGGGAGAGAATTACATATAAATTCCAGCCATGTCGTGACGGAAATTTAACAATTCTTGGCAATTTTAGCATTTTTTACTTAATTTTGAAGGTCTGATGACTGAAAGAAATTTCAATTTTCTAAAAATGGAGGCAGACGTGGTTAATCCAAGCTTGCCGACAAAAACCAACGAACGCCCAAACGTTTCAACATGTGGTAGAGGACGAAATTTTTAGTCACGACAGCGTTGTTGAAAGCAAGAGGATCCAACAACCACTACCCTAGAAGCCAGCACTAAATGGCAAGTGAGAAAATTGTAGAAATAGCATGGAATGAACGCACACGAACGGATGGAAAATGAAGCGAAGGGGGCGGAGAGTAAAACGAATGAATCGTATTTTACTTTTATCGAATATCTTACGAAGTCAACAGGAGCGCTGTACATGGACTAGAACTGCCACCACATCCTTATGGTGGGGGTAATGGCGACGCCTGCAGCCTGGTTGTTGGGAGCAATGACACTGACACCCTGGGGTAGGGGAGGAAGGGGTGATGCCTTCATCCTGATGGTGGGGGAGCATTGGCGCCTGCACCCTGGTGTTGGGGAGGAAGGGGTGGCGCCTGCACCCTGGTGGTGAGAAGAAAGACCTGGCACCTGCATCCTGATGGTGAAGAAGGATTGGCGCCTCCACTTTGATGATAGGGAAGCTTCAGCTGTTCGATTGAAAGCAGGGCTGGCACCTTCACCTTGGTAATGATGAAGCTACACTTAGATGACGGATAAGCTACACCCTGATGATGGGGAAGCAAGGGTGGTAGGTGAAGTCAAATTTGGGTGGGGTTGGGTCGTCGTTCTTGTGGCCTCCCTCGAGTAGCTTCATCACCACGAAGTTTGTCTTGACGATCTTGAGCAGCGCCTGCATCTATGCGGGGGAGGGAGGCGAAAGTTAGGTACATTTTAGTTTAAAAACACGATATTAGCAATTTTAATATATACCTATACATATCCGCGCGGACTACTATACGAGATTTTAGCTCAAATTACGCAAGACGCATAATAAAAAGTGATTGAGTAGGCCATATTTATGTTTAGCGAAGTCGCTACCGATACACATGCGAAGAATGAGTGATTGCCAGAAAAAATAGGTCTGATGTAAAACCGTTTATTCGTGCTCAAACTTGACGTCACTTTAATCCAATCGTGTTTTGAACATGTGGTGCAAAAAAAAACAATATCAGTCCCGGATTCTAATAACAGGATATCGATATTATACTTAAATTTAAGGAACTAAGTATATAGAACACGATTTACTCTAAAACTGCACTTAACCCACTCAACTGTAACGCCCGTTTTCTTACAGCAATCAAGAAAATTATGCAAGTTCAATAACATACAAATTTAGTTTGCCAATATTTTTCGTTGGCATAGCATGGCTGGCGGGGCGTGAAAATCCCCAGTACTTTTTCAATCTTTTTGGGATTGACCAGAAATGTTTGAAAAGCAATGCTCTGGTTTCTGAGGCTCGGACGAACGCTAGAAGGCATGCAGGCAACGGTGGATACTTGAAATCCACTAAGGTTGAGGGTTACCTCAGAGCTGGGGTTGGGGATGGTCTCCAGCAAGGTCTTGGCTTTAAAGAAGTGGTTCCTGGCGTCGTGGTACAGCGATGACGGCGACACGGGCTGCGGTGGTATCATCATTGGTTATGATAGAATTAGATATGATAGAATTATAAATATAGAATCAGATAGGATAATATGATATTATGGAATTATGATAGAATTAGAAGCAAATATTAGAGAATGTTACATGAAGAGAGACGATGGTAGTAGACCATGGAAAAATAATACTGAATTTACTCTGAGATACTCGATTATGATGTACAACAGCAGATTATAGTAGTATGATTTGTGGCGGCATGTCAAGCAAACATTTGATACCTGTGGAAAATTGGATAGGTCAGTCATGGTGGTGAAGGTGTGGTAGGACACTGGCGGTGGTGTTACCACCACCTTGAATGGTGCGAAGCGGTGGTGTAATAAGTGAAAATAAAATGATTTAGTGATGAGAGATCTTTATCTAAAGGGAGATGCTCCATAATCGGAAATATTCACCTAAGCAGTTAACTTTCAGGACCACCGTATCATTCCTAACCGCCAATGACATCCCTACCTTTAATCCTCACCATCACATTCTAACCTCACCATCACAGCTCAGAGCTGCTTCAGGGCTGGGCTTAATAAATGGTCATCTCTTATTCCCTGTCGCCCTACCTCCCATTCCGTGTGAATCACCTAGCAGAGGAGGTGCTGGAGGTAGGAGGTAATCGGGCCCCACCATCACCTTGTAATAACCCCCGCAGAGGTGCTGCTGGGCCTGATAGAAGGTGATCTCGTTGGCGTAGGGGCGGCTGGGCTTCCTGGTTTTCCTGGGCTTGTGTCGCGGAGGGCGGGCGGTCCTTAGGCGCGCCGCCGCGTCAGCGTTGTCGAGCTCGGGGAGCAGCGCGTCCGCCCGCGACAGCGCCGACACCAGCCACACGAACACGAACTCGTACAGGTACCTGGGGACATAGGTATTAGTACTGAAGACGGCGTCGACACAAGGCAGACTAATTCGTGTGGCTTGATATTTGTAGACTTTCCTGTAAATCTATGGCTTCCCATAAACAACTGTGTGAAGTATGAAGTATAGGTTCTTTGTATTGAGTGTGCCAGCTACACTCGAAATGAGTTCTGGAAGGCTCCATCCACGGCCATGTTGCGCCACCTGCAAATTATTCTTTCATGCCGGAAATAAAGCACGGCCTCCTTGAAAAAAGCTGTGCGCAAAAGCATCGCTGCCAAGAGCAGGCAGCCTGGGTTCGCATGCAGGGGCCATTTGATGGTGCTGGTAACTACGGACCGCGGGTGTTAAGGAGCCTGGGGACCGCTTGTGTCTAGAGTCTAGGGACCGAGGCTGTTATGTTACCTGGTACAAGGGAGGTACAAGGGGGGATGAGGGTTTTATTATTTGGGGACTGAGTGTTCTTTGTTGGGGACCGTGGGCAGTTAGTCCGTGTGTCCGTGGGCAGTCACGGGGACCGTGGGCAGTTATTCTACATCTTCAACTAAAACTTCTTGTGGTGCGTAGAGGTGCAGCGAGAAGCCCGTGAGGAGGTAGTGGAGCATGAGGCGCAGCGTGTGGTGCAGCACCCACGTGCCGAGGTAGGCCAGGTGGGGACGAGGGTGCTCGCTTTTCAGCAGCACGTTGTGCAGGTAAGCGTCCACCTCGTCTGCCTGGGGACGTGAATTGAAGCTCAGGTTTCTGTGGTAATATGGCGACAATGATTTGGTTCACAGGTTAAAGTGAACATTCATAATGCAAAAGAAGTCACAGCAACCTCACCTCATCGGCCTATATATATTGCTGGTGATACATGATCTAATGTTTGTTGTGGTGTAGCATGACACTCGCTACTACAACTGCCAACGTCATTTGGCACAAAGTCCCTTGTTTGACCAAAGCGAAGCCTCCCTTCCTACTACACCATGACACACGTAAGTTTCTAACACACCACCACATCAACCCTCTTTTTGGTACCCATATACCACTGAACTTTATCCCCCACTAGTTGTCCACCGCCACACCACTCCACGAAATGCGTGAGCCATCCCCACCAGTGGTGGGTGATGTGATGAGAGTGTGGGGTGATGTGATGGACCAACACATCACTTTACACTCTCCGTGAGTATTCATCACGTTTTTCAGCAGCCACCACTGACCTCGTCCTGTAGCAAGGCAAATTCCCTCAGAAGTTCTGTGACTTTGTCGCGCTGTCTGGCGCGGTTGTGGCCGCTCATCTGCAACAGCTGCTCAAACGGCCGCACGCATTGCGTAAAGAAGTTGTCCACGTACGCCTTTGCCTGCAATTATTACAAAGATTAGCTCACTATCACCACGTAAAATAAGTGTCATCAAACTCTAGATTACTGCTTACCATACTAAATCCTAATCATACGATTAGATATTATTAACAAGGGGATGCTTCCAGACGCACAAACATCATAGTTGAATTTATTACTAATTATGACTCAATTGAGTTGTAGCACATGCCGTAACACGCAACTAAATTCGTATTTAAAATATCTGCGGCGAAAGTTACTAATCAATGGCCAATGGCCAAGGTTCTATGCATAATGGGTCGAATATAATTATGACTCCAGTTCAAAGTAACATTTGTTCACACTATAGTTTGGTGAAGCTTCTTGAGTTTAATTGATAAAGGAGCAAAAGATCAGCACTGAGGTAAGCAAGGAAAAAAGTAACAAAATCTTCACCATAAGACTGACAAGAGACGATTTCCTCTACAACTCGCAGCTACCGCAGCCTAACCTTGAGTAGCTTGACCTGTTAATTGATGTAAAGGGAACAATCTCTGTCATTAACTTGGTACTCATTAAAAAAATTAATCATAACCGATTTTCGTGACCCTGTTTTGCGGCAGCTTAATTCTGGATTCATCACTTAGCAATAAGCTATCATGTTCTGATCTAGCCACGGACCTGGGGGTTGGACATTACGGGCGCCTTCGGCATGAGGGCAGGTGGACAAATGAACTGCTTGGCCGCCTCCCTGAGCGTCTCGGCCATCGTCTGTCCTCCCCACAGCTTGTTGTCCTCCTCACCCCCACCTGTGTTCCCTCCTCCCCCGCCGGTGCCCAGGTACAGCACCTGCGCGATGCTGCGAGACAGCACGCACGGCTCCAGCTCGCTGAACTTCTCCAGGAACTCCTGCAGGCGAAGAATACAATTTTTAATCGTATAAGAATGCAGTATTGATTACAACAGCTGATAAGTAGTACTTTTACAGCCAATTTAGTTCGTCTGTCACTTCGTCATATAAGTTGATTAATGGTACTTGATGTAACCCAGTTAGTCAATTACTTCAGCTGATATGTGGTACTTAGTGGAACCCAGTGAGTTGATTGCTTCAGAACATACATAGTATTTTTTGGAGCCCAGTTTATTATTTACGTGCCAACATCTGAATGGTGTGTGCGTGAATAAGTTTTGATTGACCCACTGCCACGATCACACACCATCACAAGCCCACAACCAAATAGGGCCTCCAGAAAACGTGGGTGGTTTGGCTTACAATTCTCGTGCAGTCACGTGTTAGTAACTCGGCCACAACGCATCATCTCCAGTCCATCAGCCAACACCACAACATATATATACCATCATCACGTCCACCAGGGTCTGTATGGAGGTGTGGGTGACTTTGCCACGGTTCAGCATCATGAACTACTGCAACCCACCTGGGTGTGGATGGAGGTTTAGGTGACTTTGCCGCGGCTCATCACCACCAACTACTGCAACCCACCAGGGTCTGGATGGAGGTTTAGGTGACTTTGCCACGGTTCAGCATCACCAACTACTGCAACCCACCTGGGTGTGGATGAAGGTGTGGGTAGCTTAGTCAAAATCCACCACCACCCACCAAGGCCTGCATAAAGGTGCGGGTGTGGGTGACTTTGCCACACTGCCTGATGCGGGTGACGAGGTCGTCAAGATACTGCAGAGCCTCCCTACGAGTGCGAAGGCGCGTGTAGCGAGGGAAGGTGGGGGGCAGCAGGCGCTGGTTCACCAGAGGCTCGAATCCCAGCGCTAGTCCGTAGTCCCCTGAGGGGGCATAGAGAGCATTATAGAATGCCTGGGGGAGGTAAGAGAGTTAAAAGACATGGAGAAGTGACCAGCAGAGATAATAGAGGTTTTAATGCCTAGTAGTAGTAAAAGATTTACTAGCGCTTCAGATAGCTATCTATTTCGCGCCGGAGGTGAGGTCTTCAGCTACGTCAAAGATGTTTGGTCTTTTCCGTCTTCAAGGCTTATAGCCTGATCCATTTAATGCCTAAAAGGGAGCAAGGGGGGGGGGGGTATTCCAAAAACAGGAAATAACGGTAAGTCTTTGCTCAGCCGTTGAAATTCAAGACTTTCAATTCAATTATTAAACTACTATGAAAGCCCATGAAAGTGTAGGAAGTAGCTATCATATCAAGTAATTAATTATAAAAATGAGTAAATAGAGCATAGATTTGAGTTAATTTCACATTTCACATGAGGGAGTTAAAGGACGACGTAAATAATTGATAAACGCAAAAGACGGCAGGTGATGTAGAGGGCGGGCGCCTTGAACAAAAAAGTGCAAGTTAGGTTATGTACGGGAGGAAGAGGGAAATAGTGTCAGGTTACGCTGAGCAACGTAGCTGGAGAAGGCTAGAGATGGTATCTTACGTGGGAGGCAGAAGTGGGGGATAAATGACAGTTGACAAGTGACATGGGGAGCGTTCTGGAGGAGGGTAATGTTCAGGCAACACGGGAGGCGTCTTAGTGAAGGTAGAGGGATTTAGATGCGTGGAGCGACGGTAGGAGCAGGTGAATAATTTTGGTGCTAGGTAACAACTAAGTGCAGGGAAGAAGATTTAGGTAACGAGGGCACTAGGAAGAAGGTTGAGAGGATGGCAGACGTAGACCATAGGCCAGGACCCACCTTTGTTGGGGTCATCCTCCTTGTGGGCCCTGGGCCTGAGGCCTCTGCCGACTGTGTTCTGCATGATACAGACGAGTTCCGTGCATGAGGCCAAGCAACGCTCCGCCTCCTGCATGGAGACCTGATCCCTGCGCATTATTGCCGCCAGCGCCGCGTACAGCAGCCGCAGGAAACGCACCCGCGAGAACAGCGCCACAGCATCCTCGTGCTGAACACATGGCAAGGATAACAGAGGTTACGTAAGTGATAACTAGTAATTACTACTGGTTAAGGTTACAGAGGTGATAATGAGATGAAAATTTATGGATGAAAACAATGTGCAACTGCAACAGTATCCTCGTGCTGATCACATAGCAAGGACAACAGAGGATAACAAGTAGTTACTACTGGTGAAGATTACATAGGTGATAATGAGATAAAAATTTATGGATGAATAACAATGTGCAACAGCATCCTCGTGCTGAACACATGGCAAGGATAACAGAGGTTACATAAGTGATAACAAGTAATTACTACTGGTTAAGGTTTCATAGGTGATAATGAGATGAAAATTTAGGAATGAATAACAATGTGAAACAGCATCCTCGTGCTGATCACATAGCAAAGATAACAGAGGTTACGTGGGTGATACCAAATAACAACTGATGGTGGGATAGTATTATTTAGTTAAAGATGTCATTATAGGAATTGATGATTTCTTCTTTTCGTGAAATATGCTAGGAATACATTAAATTATAAATTTCCTGGAGGAGACGAAAAAAAATGATGAGACGTCAAAAGCTCAACATAACCTTTTTCAATTGCCATATGTACCCAGAATACCTTGCTACCTAAGACTCGTGATTAATAATATAATTTATCAGAGGAAATGATTTTATAATGAATACTTCGAGAGAGAGAAATATTTCAATGCAAATAAGAGGTCGCTACGGAAGTGATTCCTTAACTGAGAGTAAAGTACTCTCTGTTATATACTTATTTTACATAATTTTTGATAGAAGTATATGAGATAATAATTTAGAAAAATACATGTAATTCAGCTAAATATTTATCAATTGCGACAATCACCATTGTTAATGTGACATGAAAAAGGGGGTAACAAGGAGAAAAAAATTTAAAAATTTGGGAAGCATTAAGTTTAATCTGCTATCTGCACTGACACCAGTAGCCCAAAAATATTCACTTGCGTCGTAACCAAATTTGAATGCTCACAGAAATCCAAAGCATGATGATCTTCTAGCCCATTCTTCATGCATCTTTACCTACTATATCACAAAAAATGTAGTCCCAAAACAGGAAAGAGGCCACTGCCAAGCGATTGAAATTTAATTTTCAATTCCGTTATCAATTTAGTTATAATTTAGGTAATTGTAAGGATGAGAAAATAGAGCATAGATTTGAATTAATCTTATACCTTAAAGCAGTTCTCAGCTGTTTCTTTATCAGAAGCTAAAAAACAAAATTCATCTAGAATTAACAAAGCAGAAATACTGAAACATGAAGGCTCTCTATCTGTAGAGACTCAAAATTGTAAATATAACAAAAATCAGTGCTAGTATATATCTCTCATGAAGTTTCCAGAAATTCTTGTGCATAACTTTGCACGATTAAATAAAACAGAAGTTTGAAATGTTATGAATTTTTTGTTAAAATTACTCCACGAGTGAGGCATAATATGAGATGTAACTAACCCTTTGCCTACTGACAATAACTATCGTTACCAGGCCTTTAGACACACAGTATCTGCATTATACACCAAGGACCAAATCACCACAAGCCCCCCTCTGTCGTACCTGCTTCTGCATAAGGGGCTCCCAAGCCTCCCCCTGGCGGCTCCTAGAGCTCTTCACGACGCGCTGCAGTTCCTCCTCCACTTCACGCACAGCTGCCGCTGCCCGAGCCTCAGGCACCTCAGCGCAGACTCCATACCCATACAGACCAGGCTGGAAGTCTTCTTCCTCATACACTCCAGCTCTGGTGCAACAGTCAAAGTTAACACCCCAGGAGAACAAATATTTTTTATTAACATGAGTAGATTGTTTCATAATTAGCAAAGCTTAAATTATTATTGACATCTACCATAGCGGTTAATCTTGGTTTTAGAAAAGAAAGCATAAAAACTGAAGCTATAATTATTTCCAAATTTTTACAAACAGAACCAATTTTTTCAACTTCAATTACTGTTTACTGGGAACTAGGACATTATTTATATGTGCTTGCATGAAAAATTCTGCGTCAGTATCACCAGATTCTATTCATCTCAAGCTTATTTCACGAGTCGATTGCACCACTATGATGCTTGTTCAAGACCCTTCAACATGAACTAAAAAATTTGCATCAAAGTATAACAAAGAACTGTATCATTGAGCTATGTATATTTAATCTGTTCCAAATACTAATAATCTGTCAATGATTCTATTATTATTCATCTTTCTAGCTAGGAGCCATAAGGTTGAACATACCTCTCAGGTAGCTATAAGTAACAAAGCAATACCATAGGCTCAAGTCCAAATAGTCATGACCTGACATTAGTTACACATTACATACACGGATAATTTAAAACGAAATAAAAAGGTCTGCAGGTAATTTCAAGGATTGATGATGAACAGGATCAGCTTGAGAATGAAGGACTGCAGCATTGATCACAAACTTGCACTCTTTAATAATATTCATAATGGATGTTGCTGCTCTGCCTCATCCCAGTGCTGAAATAGTGTGAATAAAGTCAAGGTATAATAAAAAAAACTCATTTTTAAGTATTTGAATAATATCTTACATGTTTACAATGTTGTTGATGAGTGCCACCAACTTGAGCGTGAGCACCGAGAAGGCCCTCAAAGCCCGGTCCTCGATGGTGAGAGGCTTGTGCAGATACAGACATGTAAGAAGTGTTTGTGCTGCTGAGTGCCCCTCCAGCCACGTCACCAGGCACCCAAATATACAGTCCATTATGCCGACTAGTTCCTCCATGCTTAGATTATTCAGTTTCAGCACCCCGGCCTGTACAAGTGATACCATCAAATGGGGTACCGGTAATAAGGGACGGGCGGGGTAAATCGGGACAGTCATCCCACATGTTGTAGAAATGTTGTAGCAGCCAAACTGATCTACAAATCTACACCCTGCAGAGTTGTAGATCAGAACCAGCAGCATCTTTGTCAAGTTTTTGACAGCAGCACCTGAATATGATACCTGGACAGTGGTTCAAGCCTCAGAAATATTTTATAGAAAATATGAAGCACTACGGTATTCTAATGAATGTACCATACGATCCATTAACATTAACTACTGTACCTATTCATTTTCTTTTTCAAGCCAAGAAGATGGCAAAAAAACTGCTAACTGCAGTCCCTTAACTTGCATGGCTTATCTTTAACGTTTCAATTAACAACTTAACTGAAGTCTGATCATGTCATAAAAGGGAAAAATATATATACTAAAACAAGCAGGTTTAGACTACCACACAAAATTAGTTCTAATAAATATAGTTTGAAATGTTTACCAAAATTAGCCTTCAAGCTCAGTCTAAATTTGCTAAATACTGCCAATTTTGCACAAAATGTCACTGGAGACATGACAAGAAACATCACCTTGATTGCCTTGTCAAAAGTCAGCACTCTAGCCCCTCTGTTGCACATCATGCCAGCATCCATCTTGGGGTCCATCATTTCTATTGCACTCATTGCTTCAAAAAGTCCAAAGAGTTCATCATGGAGAAGCTCGCCAAGGTCAAGCTCTGCACATAGATATTGAGAATACTATGATATTGAAATCAGTACATGCAATACAATATGGCAGTTATTTGACAATTATTTCATTTCTTTGATTCTCTGATAATGGCACGCAGTCTTATACTTATATTTGGTGGTGAATTGTAAACCTTCTTAAAATATTTTAATAGTGAGGAAGATTATCAAGCAATAAACATCTTGTCAAAGTCAATACCAAAAATCAGTAGCATTTTTTCAGTTAACACAACTCAGTGCAGATTCAAAAACCAGCAACATAAAACTACATAGGATAATCATGATACTAGTAAAAACTTACCTTTACTAGCTTCAAAGAACTCAGTTGTGATATCTGTCCAGTTACAGCCATACTCTGGCTGAAGTGCATGGCTGAAATTGAAATTATCATAATGAGCAATCAGTTTAGATGAAATGTAATGGCAAACTGAAAAGAATCAGAAGAAGAATCCATAGAGCAGGATTAAAGCAAAGAATTAAAAAAAATTTATTTATTAAATATCTGAAATTGCCCACAATTGACTACCATTCTAGTGAACAAGGTCACTTAGACTATTGCAGATATAGCTAGGCAACAGGTTATAGTCAACAATCAACCTTTATTGCAAATGTTCTGATGCTTCATGATGACAAAAATCAACCCATGTTTTTCACCTGGATGATACCATTCATCCATATTTGATATCAGCCACATTTGCAGTTTTCAAATGGCATTCAGTACATAATCAAATATATATGCACTTGAATAATCACCCTGAATCCCATTAACAATTAAAAACTTTTATTTATATAGGTATACCAATTCAAAAACTCAAAGAACAAGTTTTCATAATTTCCTACTTTACTCTATTATTCAAATCAATTTCAATAATAAAATTTCAGGTCAGGGTAAATATTCAGGTCAGGGTACTTTTGAGCGTATTATGGATATGGGCTTGAATTGCACCTTTATGGCTTTATGCCTATAGCAATTTCACTATACTTTGCCAGACTTAAAACCAACACACCTACTGTATAAACTTTGACACACATATAATGGATGTTTGAGAGGACCCAAATTCTTCCTAGTTCCATTCTGGCATACACTTTACACTCTTGTATGCAAAAGTTGACTGTAAAATTTAATGAAAAAAATTTTTGGTGACAAAGAAGGTACCGTCAACTGGGGGTGACTCCAGCCACCGCCTACCAGGGGTGACTTTGGCCACACCTACAACAGAAACAAATGGCAGCAAAACAAAATAATAAATGTTGGCCAAAGTCACCCTGGTGCCTGCTGCCTGGTGGCCAAAGTCACCCCAGTCACTTTGGCCAATGTTTATTATTTTGTTTTGCTGCCATTTGTTTCTGTTGTATGTGTGGCCAAAGCCCAAAGTCACCCACAGTGGCCAAAGTCACTCCAGTTGATGGTAGCAACAAAATTAGAATTTTCACAACTAAATTCACAAATTTAAATTTTAACAGAATGATCTAACTATACAATTTTATTAATATTTTCATTCAAAGCAAGTTTCTCAGCTGTCCCATTTACAGATGGCTTCTGACTGATTTTCCAGTTGGGGCTACAAGATTCCAAACAATTCAGATATCTATCACTTTAAATCCACAAAAGTTTTGAAATAAAGTTGGAATTTCAAATCTTGGCTCAACTTAAGTTATGCAGTTTTGTTTGAAGTTTGATTGTCATTTTCTAGCATGAAAATTGGAAATTTATGGTGAAGTGAATTTCAATTTCCCATCTCATATACGGTAGGTATGGATTTTAGAAAATCAGACAAAATTTATTGAAAAGTGTGGTAAGTAAAAAGGATTATTTCACTGGTGACTTTTGAAAATTGCAGGCAATAGAATAAAGTTGTAATTTTAATAAGAAATTGAGCAATAGGACAACTCACAACCAATATGGCAAAAGGTACCGTCAAACGGGGTAAAAAGGGACGGATTTGAGCGTTTTTTGTTAATAGCTTCTTACCATGAAACATTTCAGAAACAAGTTTAGGCTCATTTTATAGCTCTTTGCGAGGGCTATCGAATGGCATCTTCAAAAAAATTCCATATGCTATTTGTGAGGTGCCAGACGCAAAATAAAAGCATCCCGATTTACCCCTCAAAGCGGGGTAATCCGGGACACTTGCAATAAAAGTTAATTTTAAAAAATTTTAAGCATGCAGAGCGTACTCATCCATTACTAACAGTACTCTGAAGTCCTCCTCTTTCATTGTAGATGATGTAGATGTAAAATAAATTACATTTTCTGTGATTTTTGGAATGAGATAGGCAAATTCCGAAAATTACGTTTTCAAGCCGACACCTGGGTGCAACTTTTATTTAAGTAAAATTTTTTAATACGGCTAATATTTTTTTTTTTTGCTCCAGACCTTAGCAGAGGTACTTTTCCAAAATCGCACTTTTCACACTTTTTTTCAGCAATTTTTTAGAGATAGTAAATGTTTGATTTCTTGACTAGCTTTATACATAATAGATGGTAAAAATGTTGAAGTTTACACCACTATTTTTAGTTTTGCAATATTTCGATTAGTTTAGCTGCTACAACATTTCTACGAAATGTCAGAGGCGCGTCCCGATTTACCCCGCCTGTCCCTTTTTACCCCGTTTGACGGTATTACAGGCCAATAGCTATACTGCTACAGCAGCATGGCCTTAGCCTATGGTTCAAAAGCAGGAGATATAACCTGCACACATGGATGGCTTGGTCATGGGTTATTTTGTTTTGTTAATAGGAGGCTTTAGTCTGAATTCATACTTGGGCGAGTCTCCCACAACTCAGTAACAACTAACATGCTCAATTTGGCCCTTAAACTTTTTGTGGTTTGATTATTAATATTAGTCTCCCACAACTCAGTAACAACTAACATGCTCAATTTGGCCCTTAAACTTTTCGTGGTTTGATTATCAATATTACAGTTGCCTGGCAAGCTGGCATCCTCAGCCTGGCATAGGTTACTACTTACCTTTCGTTTGTTGGAGGTACATTGCTCACAGAATCATTGACATCTTCATTTGCAGAATGAGCTTCAGCATCTTCATTTACGGCTTCCATTTTGATTAGGTTTACGCAATATGTATCACCTGAGACCTACTAGTACTAGTAGATGAATATTGAATAGCAATTCTTCACAGGCCAAAGTCTTCTTCTTCTTCTTTTCTGGGTGTCCATGCTAGGTGGACTTGAAGCCACAGGACAACCGCAAGGATGCCCATTGGGCCTGAGAGCTTCTGCAGAGTGCAGGCCAAAGTAAAAGGAAAATGATGATCTTGATCTTCTATTAGTTGACGGCGTGTTCCACCAGAGGCGATTCTTTCCGTAATCTGCTTATTTATTAAGTCTCAGGGCTGGAATCGATGAGTTTTGCCGATGAATTCTTCAACAGCTTTGCAGATGTGCAGCCAGGCAGGGCAGTTGGAGGTGTCTCCTCCCAGCAGTGAAGCAGTGCTGAGTGTAAGAACTCCATGCGAGTTTACTTGGCGACGCAGTTGCGCACGGGTTTCTTCAAACTCCGTGCAAGAGATGAGATAATGATGCGAGGTTTCTGGGGTGTTGCATGAGGGGCACAGTGGAGAGGGGGCTTGGCGGATTTGGTAGAGGGCCTTGTTCAGCGGAGCTGTGCCAAGGAGGAGTCTTGCAAAGAGTGTCTCATTTTGACGAGTCTGTAGCTTGCGAAGAGACCATGGTCGCACTGATGGTTTGATTGTTCCCAGGGCAAATTGGCCACAAATTGATGTCCACTTAACTTGCCAGAAGTTCCAGGCTCCCTTCTGTACTATAGACTTGAGTTCAGAGAATTCGAATAGTAGGTATGTCTGCCAGTGGGTCGTCAGACATAGCTGCCTGCTTAGCGATTCTGTCTGCCGCCTCATTACCCTGGATGCCTGAGTGACTTGGTATCCATTGGAAATGCACTTCTCCCCTTGGAAGTCGAAGGAGATTATGGTGAATAGCGGCTATGAGATGTGAATAGCTCCTGGGGAATGGTTGCATTAGGAGCTGTAGTGAAGATAGACTGTCCATGCAAATCAGTGCTGGGTGAATGCGGTTGTCCAATAGAAATTTCACAGCTTGTAGGATGCCATATAGCTCTGCAGNCACATCTAGATGTGTATAAGAGACAGGTCCATAATTATGACGGTAATTTATCAAAGAAAATTATGTAGTTTGATAAAAGTGAGCAGTAGATATGGCAGCGATCTTGACCAGTTGAAGGCTAACGAGTAACTAGAGCACCGGCATGGCGCACTTACCCGCGAACGTTGCCGAACTCGACCATTCAAGTTTTGAACGAGACAAGGCACGGTTAAACCGACTCTGTAGTCAGCATGAGTGCCTACGGAATGGGACCTTATTTAAAGAATTATTGACTGAAATTCATAAAGTAACAACATTTGGAAAATTTTTCCAAAAGTCGTAACAAAAGTAACAACATAAGATCTAATAAGGCGGGAAAATGATGCGTCTAGAGGCGGGAAAATTATGCGTTGTGAAAAAAAAGTCGCGCTAATCAAAACTGGCACCGCATAGATTAAGGGTAGGTTGCAAATTTCTTTCCGTGTTAATCAAAACCGCGGTATTCAAAACCGTGCTAATCAAGGGATTGCTGTACATTGTGATGTCGTCGGCATAAACTGCTGTGTTAACATTTGGTGATGAAGGTATGTCTTGGAGTAGCACATTGAAGAGCAGAGGGGATAAGATGGATCCCTGCGGTACACCGGTCCTCGTGAGATGTAGTGAGGACAAGCTTCCTGTGACTGATACTTGGAATGAGTGCTCTGTCAGGTATGCCTGTATCCAACGCAGCATACGACCCCTGATTCCATTTTGTGCCAGCTTGTATAGTATGCCTGCATGGTCTGCCTGATCAAATGCGCCCTTGAGGTCAACGTACAGTGTCGTACACTGTAATTAGGACCTGCCGGCTCACAGGAGCGCTGAGTGATGAGCTTTGGGCAGGTGGAAAAGGAATGCATTGTGCATGAGGTCTGACCCTGGTAGGCTGGTGATGAGCGGGTCTTTAGCCTGAGTATGCCTCGTGTGAGTTCGCCTAGAGTGAACCGGCAGTTGTAGGATGTGTCATCTTCACATGCGAGAGCTGCAGCTATTGTATTTTTCCTCTCCTCGGACATCCTGCTGGGTTGGGCATTGGGCAAGAGTGGTTGCAAAGTGTTCTGCTAGGGCTTCTGCAGTTTTCTCTAGAGAAAGTGGGTTATTTTTGACTGAGAGTGAGATGACTGCATTGGGGAGTCTGCCAGCCCCTGCTCAAAACATTTTCCACACTGTTGTGAGAGGAGTCTGTGGGCTTATATGGGAGAGAAATTTTTTCCAAGATTCTTTCTTGGCAGCTTCTACTGTTGATTTTTCTTCCTGAGTTGTTTCAGAGTAAGCTTTCCTGTTTGAGGGTGTTGGGTGTTGTGTTGGTAGAAATAGAATAGCTTGTGAGCTTTCCTCCAGTCCTCCTTGCATAAGTTGCATTGCAGTTGCACCAACCGAGCACAGGCTGATGTCCACCATGGGCATCCTGGCCGACATAGTGGCAAACCAGAGCTTTTTTAGAATCAGTTCATTTTTAATTTACTCAAGATTTAAACCAATTTCTTAAGTATGATAATACTGGTATCCAGGATACTTTACTGGTCTACTTATAGGACTTAAAAATGAGCTTGAGGGAGAGTCTAAAAAACTCTCTGCTGGCCAATGTGAGTGAGTTGATTGCCTCAGTGGGAAGTGTTGCTTGCTGTGCTCCACCAAACCACCACTGCAATGAGAAAGCCTGATAAGATTCTTGTGGAGTGTTTCCTCAAGGAATGGATCTGTTTGAGAGAGCCACTGCCCATGTATCCCACTCCTGAGTTAGGCTGAGTACAAGTCCTTTGCCGTAGTGACCACCGTGGAAGACTCTTGATCCTAGGAGTTTGTCGAGGTGTGCTCTTCCGTAGGAGGGGTTATGAGGGGAGTATGGTCAGTGGTCACTCCCCAAGTCCCAGGGTGCAGAAGGTGGAAGCAGCATCGCCAATATATGGGTTTTTAAGCCCAAAGCGTCGCCGACCATTTTTAAGATGCGTTGCCGGGTAATTTTTAATGAACAGCCATTTACGCTGAGTAATGATAAACTATGATAAAGCCACATACTTATTAATACTTATTATTATCAAGTATTATTAATACTTATTATACTTATTTAGTTATTATACTTATTAATGATAAAGCCACAAACTTATTTACAAGGTTGCATGCACGTGTTACCCCAAATAGGGTAAACGCGGTATATTCCGACACATTAAGGACGCATCAAGAAATGAATAATATACGTTTAAAAATTACTTTTTAAAGACAACACTTCCAAAGAATCCAGTATCTCCAATCTTACAGTAAAAAATGTTGTTTACAATTTTTGCGGGAACTCATCGCAACTGATTTCTGGACAAGCTTCGCTGCATCGTAATCCATCCAACGTACTGGAAACCTTACTTTTTTTCTAAATAGTTGGCTGAAGACTGAGAAATATATTAAATGCAAGAATTTCAATCTAAATGTGTCGGCAAGATCTTCTGAAGGCCAAAATTTTGCCGATAATGCGTCGCCGTAGGTCTTTAAATCTTCGTTCACTCTCTGCACAGTGGCTCTGAGCCTCTGACAGTCTGACTTCACACAAGTGTGCAAAATTTCAGATCAATTAGACAGGTAAAAGAGTGTCAAATATGATAATATCAGTTATAAGATTTGTAGCTAACAAAATTATTTTTCAATTTTTTTATTATTGAAAAATTTTTTTTTTAATTTTAAAAATAATTTATTTTGACATTTGATTCATGCATTGTCTCCAAGACTCCAACTTTAAACAAGCGTGCAAAATTTCAGATCGATAGGATAAGTAGAACTGTAGAAGTGCATTAAATTTCGATTACAAGATTTGTAGCAGACAGACAAGAAGTGAAGTTAAAGAGAAGTGTTGTAAAAAACAGAAGAAATTTGAATTGCTTCTGGTTTTTGCGCACTATGATTTTCAGGATTTGGACTTTTCAAAACTTTGGCACAACACGTCTTATCACCAAAAACGATCGATGGAAACAGGAAACTCATCTAAGTGATCTAACAGGAAAACGGTGACCGCGGTCATGCATAGGAACAAGTAATGACCGTTCCTAAATTTTGGATCCCGGACCTGTGCTTCCTAAATTTATTTATAAATATAATTTTATGCAACGGGGTTTAAATAGATGAATATGTGCCCGCGCCACGACGTGGCTGATTAATTTGAAGGTCCGACCTGATTTCCTCGCACACCGTAATATCATACCCAATTTCTTCTATTCGACACACGCTATCAATCACTCTTTATTTAATATCAATTTTTTTAAACATGCTCACGCATAAAATTTGACGTTTTAGAAGGAACTTGAAGTCTGTCTATTGATATATCTATGAAGTATATGATTGTTTATAGGTGTAAAAACTAACAATCAAAGTTTACATTAGAAGTTAGGACTGATTTTTTTTACATATGCAAAGCTCTAGATCGTAATTTTGAAAAACTTGCTGAAAATTTTAATGACAAAATTTAGAACTGATGCGGTTAGATTCTAATTGGCAAATTATCCAACAGAGAATCAAAGTGTTGAAAACAAAACCGAACAAGTTATGGTCACGATTGATAATGATCGACCATGAGCGAAGTTGACCTGCTATCTAATTAAATTTAAATCAAGTGATTTGAAGGAATTATACCCTAATGGAACACAAACAGCCTTTTTAACATGTTTTGAAAAGTTGTGGTTTTCAATTTGAACTAATAAGCATCGTTGATTGTTTGTTGAGACGAAGTTGTAACTAGAACGAACGAACACCATAGTAAGTGACTGAAATTGAACGCGCAGTATTCCGCAGTAGACGAGATCTAATTTCATTGTGAGTATATGGAAGACAATTCAAAGCTATTCTACATTCTACAATACAGTTTATATGCAATTGAATTCCAAATGTTAGAACTGAACTATATCGATAGCGATGGGCTCTTAAAGTTTACGACGGAGCTATCGTGAACTCGTCAGTACTCAGTATTGCGCCATGCGAGTCGTGGAGTTCTGGTACACTTGCGGCGCTCCACTTGACCACTTCGATCTGCCAATTGTTCACCCAGACTCGTCTGAGCACGGATGTGTGCTGCTGATATTATTTGAATTTTGTTACTTACATATACCTAACTGAATTTGTTCGTTGATCAAGAGATTAAAGTGAGAAAGGTTGTGTTTATAATGTCAACCGAAGATATTAATGCGGTACGTATGACAGTGTTTGGTATTTATTGCATTGATGCGCACATCTGTGAAACTATCGCTGTGAATGTCAATAATTCCTAGCCTTTTAAAAAAATGTACGTTACTTAAAAATCTCAATATTTTTCATAATCCATATCAAAAACGTTTATATTCAAGTGCAATTTTTGTATTTTGACTTATTCTCCAAAAACGGAATGTTCTAACATTTTGGAGAAAAATCTCACCGCAAGATGATAAGTTCATTTTCAGTTGATATCAACACCTCCTCAAACGTGGTGCATAAAATTGGTCTTTATGGTGATGCTTGGGTTGATTCCGTGCATAATGTGAATGTACTTCTGAAGCAGATTTTTCAATTAAGCGTCCCCATATATAAGCGCTTGATTTATTTAGATTTATTATCACTTCAATAGTATTGGGGGATTGCAGATATTTTCACAAGATTAATGATATAATTCTCTAGTGTGATATAAAGTTTATTTACCTTTAATTGTATTGGTACAGGAAAAGGCTGTGGCCGCCACTCTTCAGACTTACAGACTACAAAATTCTAGATGCGTTGAAGACCCCACGGCCGAGCTCAATGTCAACTACATCTTGGAGGAGCGGGAGACGCTGGCCCTAGAGTTTGAGCACGAGGAGTCCAAAAGCGGAAAATGGATTTTGTTTGTGCGGATCAACTCAATGTTTTCTATGTGGACGAAGTCCTGTTATCTTTACAGGGAAGGAAAACTTGAAGGAGTCACTTCCTTGAAAGCATCGACTGCCAAGGATAACCCTCGCAAGACGGGTGATGACAATGGAGTGATTATCTTCCATTGTGGTCCAAGCGACGACAAGGAGAAGATATTACGTTATGGTATGAACATCGTCATGCTCCTAAAATACTTTAATGACAAAGGCTACATCCCCTACAAAACCAATGAGCAATCGGCTAAAGGGACTCGGGCAACTGGCAACCAAGTTAACTGCTTGTACAAGCTACCGGTGGCGCGTAGGTGGAGCGAGTACCAACAGCCTGGGACAGCGCGCTTCTGGAGGTAACCATTTTTAAATGAGAAGTGCAACCAATTCACATGAGCTCTTACTAACTTCAATCACACTTCTGTTTTCCATTTCAATTGAAAGTCTTTTGATTGGCTTGCAGCACTCGTAATTTAATTGCTATTTATAAATTGAATTGGCAAGGTTGGTTCAAATGAAGGTATATGAAAGCTGTTCTAGTTTGTCATTTAATCCGAACGATGCATGACTGCAAATGTTTTTATCATAGTGTAACAACAGTATAAAAAGTTATCATATTTCCTCAGCAGAGATCGTGAAACTTATACGCCAAGTTCCGGAAACTGGCGATCAAAATCTAACACTAGTCACTTGGAATTCTGGCGGTCAAATGACAGCGATCGTACCTCATGGAGGTCACCTGCTGCGGGACATCACGCCGTAGAAGAAGTCGAAACCGTCGGCCAACACGACTCTCCGACGTCCAGATTGGACACTCTTTGGTTGACAGAACCTGAGGATTTCTACAAAAGTCGCACTAAGAAACCATCAGAGGTGGTGGGTCACTGGATCACTCTGCATCCTTCTGATAAGTTAGACTCCGCTTGGATGAAGGCGCGTAAGCTTTTTCGTGATGGAGAACTACCAGAAGACGTAGTGTGCGTGCAAGCGTCTACTCAGCTTCAGAACTATAAGAATAACGGCAGAGGTGTCATTAAGTTCAGATGTATCATTAAAGACGAAAAGGAGCAGATGCTGATGGTGGGTAAACGTCTTGCCGAGTGTCTTGAGTTGTCAAACGATACCCGGCAAATCTGGCTCCAGAGTGGGCGTGGAACTTTGATCACGCTGTAATTGAAGGAATGCAAATGCAATTAAACGTTGATGTGTAATTTTCTCATCTCTAGTGGATTTCCACTGAGCAAGAAATTAGGGTGCTGAGTTATCGAAAACATCATCACCTTGGTTTTTGAACTTACTGTTAACAATTAACAATTGAGCTCAAATTTAATTAATATGTAATAAAAAGACTATATGCAATTTCATAAATATAAAAAATTTTATTTGTAATAAACTATTAGGTAAGTTGGTTAATTTATTTATTAACGGTATGTTTGAAGACTAATTTGAACTAGACTGATTATAAACATCATCGAGTCATCCGATTGGTGAATGATTTGAATATTTGAATTTAAGCAGTTTTAACTATTACAGATTGAAATTTGTTCCCATTGCGTGGGTTGGCTTGTACAATGTATATCAGCTGGGTTTGTTACCTAATTCTACAGGAGCTCGAGGCTCCTATGACGATTGATTTAACCACGAAGTTCACTCCTATAAAAATATATAAATTGCATGTAGGAGGTAATACACCCCAGCTTTATTAATAAGCATAGTTAATGTAATGCCACAGCGCAGTTGGTCGTGGTATGCAAGATCCACGCGAATGTAATGAAGTGTCGCGTGTAATAATTTATTGCCTCGGTTTAGACTTTAGAGCCTATGTCTAGCGAGGACGATCAAATTCATACTATAAAGTGGCTGAGTAAAATGTTTATCTTCAGAGAAACGTATTTTTATTATCAATGCAATAATGGCGACGTCGTATAATGCATAAGCTCACGGAAATGAGAATTAGAATTACTCATGTTTTTTACGGCTCGTAAGAGTTCACTTTTTAGCAAGAATTTTTCCTTATTATTTAGGATTTAAACAGGCAATAAAAATCGTTCCAAATTCCTAATGAGAGCCATAAATTCTCACTAAAATACAATTCGTTTGATATGATAAGAGGATAACAATAAAGATCTTTGTAATGAATATCACGAGCTAGAAGAAGATAAAGAGTTAGCTGCATGGGAGTTCACGAGGCTTGTTCAGAAATTAGAAGCTTCAGTCGTTTTTTCGGGTTGACTTTGTCTAAATTTTATTTATTAACTCCCTTATTCATCAACGTATCAAAACATGTCCAAAAATCTCAAAACCGGAGTTTGGAGCAATGAAAGTGTTCATATACTGTCAAACAAAGTTTGTGTAAAATAAGCAGCATGTCTACTTCTAACCATGTATAGTGAATACGCTGCTATATGAATTAAGTAAAAAAAATTACGGAGGCTTTCCTCATATGTGTGCTCATGACGCTCACGATGCGACGATTAAACTAAGTTTTACGCCAAACAATAAGCGTCGTTGATTGTTAGGCGAGAAAAAGCTACGTATAACTGGAACGAACGAACGTCGTAAGTTAGTGGCTGAAATTGAACGCGTAGTATTTCGCAGCAGACGAGACCAAATTTTATTGTGAGTATATGGAACACAATTTAACGGTGTTTTAATTACTAAAATTAAGTCTAAATGCAAATAAACGCCCAAATTTGTAATTAAATTATTTTTATAGGCTCTTAACGTATGCGACAGATCGAGCTCCACTGCTGCCAGTGCTAGGTTTAAAAACCTAGATCTAGGTTTTTTGATATCGGGAGATATGTAAATTTATAGGTTTTTAATTTACAAACTAATATAAATCTAAGTTTTTTTAGAATGATTCACTGAAAGCAAAAATCAATATAAGTTATATAAAAAAGTACGTTTAGACCCTATTAGCATTAATTATTTAAAATAATAGCACTACACAATACCCTATAATAGCACATAATAGCATACATAATTTATTCTTGACAATAATTATTATCAAGAAAGTGAAAATACTACAAGTTATAAACTCTAAATACATGTTCATACATATTCGTTCAGAATACAGATTGTACTGTCGCGTGCGTGTCGCTTAAAAGCTAAAAGTTAAAAAAAAAATAATATATAAAATGGAATAATAATAAATAAGCCAATGAAAATATATAAAATAAAAAATAACATAATATAATGATGGTATAAAAAACTAAAGTATTAAAAAATAACTAATAAATAAAATAATAGCAATAAATAGTAATAATAAATTACTGTAAGTAAAAAATAACTGTAAAATATGAAATTGGGAATATGTTAAATTGTAATTTCTGTTTATCACTATATATCCATACACATTCCAATGCGAACAATATAGGGATTTATTGCTTTGAATTACACGTTAGAATTCTAGTTTTTTTCATGCAACACAGATTTTTTCGGAGGTATAAAGTAGGTTTCAAAAAAAATAGTCGCTGGTAGCTTTGCTCGTGTATATATATACGGCACTCTTTATCAGTCTGTCAATTGTTCACTAAGACTCTCAGTGGAAGGGAGTGAGCTGCTGATGTTCCTTGTTTTCTGGTACTTTCTTCACACCTGAGTGACTCGTTGATCAAGCGATTAAAGCGAGAAATATTGTATCTGTCTACTGGATCATGTCAAAAGAAGATATCGATGTGGTACGTATGAAAATGTATGGTATTTATATTCCATTGCTGCACCTCTGTGACTCTATCACTGTGAATGAATGTCAAAAATTCCTAAACTTTTAGCGAATTTACGCGACTCATAAAATCTATTAATATATTTAATAATCCATCCCGAAAAACAACTACATTCGAATTCAATTTTTGTATTTTGACTCACTCATCAAACACGGGATGTTTTAATATTTTGTAGAAAAATCTCTCTATAAGTTCAATGTCAGTTGATCGCAACAGGTCCTCGGGGAGCAGAAAATTTGTCTTTATGTTGCTGCTTGGCTTGATTCAGTGCACAATAAGAATGTCCTTCTGAAGCAGATTTTTAAAGCTAATCGTACCCAAATATTAATGTTTGATTTATTAAGATTTATTATCATTTCAATTGGATTGAAAGATTGCTGATATTTTCACAACATTAATTACATAATTCGGAATTTTGATGTAATGTTTATTTCTTTTTTACTGTAATGGTACTGAAAAAGGCTGCGGCCGCCAGTCCTCGGATATATAGACTACAAAATTCTAGACGCATTGAAAACCCAACGGCCGAGCTCGATGTCAACTACATCTTGGAGGAGCGAGAGACGCTGGCCCTCAAGTTCAAACACGATGAGTCGAAGAGCGGGAAATGGATTTTGTTTGTGCGGATCAAGTCGATGTTTTCTATGTGGACGAAGTCCTGTAATCTTTACAGGGAAGGAAAACTTAAAGGAGTCACTTCCCTGAAAGCATCGACTGCCAAGGATAACCCTCGCAAGACGGCGGGTGATGACAATGGAGTGATCATCTTCCATTGTGGTCCAAGCAACGACAAGAAATTGATGATAAGTTATGGTAAGAACATCGTCAAGCTCCTAAGATACTTTAATGACAAACGCCACATCAACTACAAAACTAACGAGCAGTCGGCTAAAGGGACTCGGGCAACTGGCAACAAAGATAACTTCTTGTACAAGCTGCGGGTGCCAGGTCCTCCTGGGTCAGCGCGCTTGTTGAGGTAACCATTTCTACATCAGAAGTATCACTAATTCATATGAGCTTTTAGTAACTTCAATCACTATTCTGTTCTCCATTTTCATTGGAAATCTTTTGACTGGCTTGCAGCAATCGTAATTTAAATGTTACGCATGAATAAGTTTCGCAACGCTGCTTCAAATGAAGATACATGAAGGCTGTTTAAGTTTGTAATTAAATCTGAGCTATGTATGTATGATAACAAATGTCTTAATGATATTGTAACAATGTACTGAAACGTTATATTCTCCTCAACAGAGACCGTAAGATTAAACGCCAAGTTACGAAAACTGGCGTTTCATGTAACACAAGTCATCGCTTCAAATAGAGGAAAAATGCAATTAAACGTAGCTAGCGGCTTGAGGCGTAATTTTCATCATCTCTAGTGGAGTTTTACCGTGCAAGAAATCGGAGTGCTGAGTTTAATTAAAAAAAAAAAAATAAAAAAATATCCTCACATTAGTTTTTTGCCTCACTACCAACAACGAAAATTTGAGGATTCATTTATTATGCGATTAAAGGCCTCCAAGCAGTTTCATCAATATCGAATAATTTTATTTGTATGTAACTATTTCTTAAGTAAGTTAATTTATTTACGACATGTTCGGAGACTTTTTGAACGAGACTGATCGTAAACATCATCTGATCATCCGATTGGTGCATTAAATGAATATTTTAACAACCTAATAACAGATAGAAATTTGTTTCCAATGCGAGGGTTGGCTTGCAAATCAGCTGAGTTCATTGACCCTATTTTTATAGGATATCGAGGCTCGCAAGGCGCTAGTTTTAACTACTGAGTTCATTACACATGAAATGAATATATTAATCTTAGGAGCTAATCCATCCCAGCCTAATTAGTAAGCAATGCTCTATGATATAATGTTATGCGACAGAGTAGTAGCGAGTGGTGATATGACTGGCATTCAAGATCCAGGAGAATATGATGAAGTCTCGCATGTAATAATTTATTGCCTAGGTTTAGAGCCTATGTATAGTGATTGTGATCAACTTCAGACTATAAAGTTATTAAGTCAAATGAATGTCTTTAGAGATACGTATTTTTATTATCAATGTAATAATATTGACGTCGTAAAATGCATAAGCTCACGGAAATGATAAGTAGAATTACTCATGACTTTTACGGCTCGTACCAGTTCGCTATCTAGCAAGAATTTTTCCTTATCATTTAGAATTTACACAGGCAATAAAAATCTTTCCAAATTCCTAAGGAGAGCCAGAAATTTTTACTAAAATACAATTCGTTTGATATGATAAGAGGATAACAATAAAGATCATTGTATTGAACATCACAAGTTAGAGGAAGATGAACAGTTAGTTGTTGTTGTTGTTTCGAGGCGGCTTGAACGAGAGTGGTGGGAGAATAAGATTAGGAATGTGAGAAAGCGTGTGCGACAGGGAGAGTGGGAGACATGTGAGAAAGATTGGCACGAGGGGATGCAAGGCGGGAGCGAGTGCGAATATCTGTGTGAATGAATTTAAGGAGCATTTTGAAACGAGTGACGTGAGCGAGCTATGAAGAGGAGCCGAGAGTGATAGAACGGGCGGTAAATGTTGCGACTGACCTGCGAGAGTGTGAAAGAGCGAAAGAGGCAAATGATCGACTGACTGAAGTGCCTGAAAGAGAAGAGATTGTTGCGGCTATGAAAGATATGAAAGAGTCGGCGCCTGGGGAAGATGGAGTGAGGATTGGATATACTAAGTGGGCGGATGAAGGAGTGAGAGTGTAATAACTTGATCGGGTTCTTCACCAAGTCAGTTTATAAAGAGTTGCCGTCGGAGTATTAATGAAGACTTGTTCCCACAAGCATTTATTCAAATAAAGTTTATTTACAGCACAGTTGAATAATATGTTGAAATTGGCATACGAGACACGCATCTGAATAGGCAGGAGGCTAACTACCNGAGACAGCTATCAGGCATAGGATAATTATCTACTTTGACATGAGGATTCAACTTCCTAAAATCGATCGTCAAGCGCATCGTTCCGTCAGCATTTCTTACGACCACCATCGGTGATGCCCATGCGCTAGTCGACTTACGGATGATTCCGAGTTTGAGCCATTTCTCCAACTCGTTTCTGACGCTATCCTTCAGATGAAAGGGAATCTTGTATGGCAAGCTTGCAATTGGTTCAACATTGTCAACTATAATTTGATATTCCAATCCTTTAATTGCTCCAGGTACTCCACTGAAGCATTCCAAATGTTGTTCGAGGACGTTCCTCAACGCATTCTGTTGATCCTCAGATAACTTCTCACAAATGTTCAGCGGCGATTCCTCCACTTCGCTTACTGCTTGACAGACTTCGGCTCTTTGAGGATGCTCTTCATAGTTTCCTCTCCTGTAGAACTTCTTCAACATGTTTATGTGAAACGTCTTTTCTACATTGTTGATTCGAATGACGTAGTCCACGTTGTTCAGTTTCCTTATTACCGTAAAAGGTCCTTTCCATTCTGCGAGTAATTTGTTGTGGCTGGTTGGTAAGAGCAGTAGTACCTCGTACCTAAATGTTTGGCGATCAAATGGGGTGTTAACTACTTCTCTTCGTACTTTTATGGGAGGAGATTTGTAATCAGGACTGACCACGCACCTCTTCAATGGCTGAGGCAGAATAAAGACAGAAATTCTATCTATGTGCTTCAATGCAACAGCATCGGGAAACTTAGTAGCTAAATCGACAGAGACTAGGGCGAAGCGATTACCTCTTCTTGATTTTGGTAATTGCTAGGGCTTCTGCAGTTTTCTCTAGAGAAAGTGGGTTATTTTTGACTGAGAGTGAGATGACTGCATTGGGGAGTCTGCCAGCCACTGCTCGAAACATTTTCCACACTGTTGTGAGAGGAGTCTGTGGGCTTATATGGGAGAGAAATTTTTTCCAAGATTCTTTCTTGGCAGCTGCTACTGTTGATTTTGCTTCCTGAGTTGTTTCAGAGTAAGCTTTCCTGTTTGAGGGTGTTGGGTGTCGGTAGAATAGCTTGCGTGCTTTCCTCCTTGCATGCACCGCCCGAGCACAGGCTGATGTCCACCATGGGCATCCTGGCCAACATAGTGGCAAACCAGAGCTTTTTTAGAATCAGTTCATTTTTAATTTCCTCAATAACTCAAGATTTAAACCAATTTCTTAAGTATGATAATGCTGGTATCCATGATACTTTATTGGTCTACTAATAGGTAAGACTCAAAAATGAACTTGAGGGATAGTCTAAAAAACTCTCTGCTTTGTCACTATGCTGCCTAGACCCACACTCTGGTAGTCTGGTACAGCCCGTACAGGCTCACTGCGTCAGTTTTGGACCTGTTTTTTTGTGCCTCTCAGTAGGCAGGTGGGGTATTATTGCAGATTAACTACATCCAAAAAAAAAGGTGTTTTTTTTTATTATATGTTTTTTGGGGTGTAGATTACGAATCTGAAATCCATTTTTGGCGGTCGGCATCGGAAAACCGATTTTTTGCAATAATACCGATCACNTTCTAATCTCATCTTCTCAAGTTCCAATTCCGCCATTCTAAGTTCATGCTCACGTTTATTCTCTTCTCGACTTTGTAGCCTCAACTCTCTCTCAAGGTCTTCCTGTCTCTTCTTCTCCTCCTTTGCAGAGCGTTCTTCGTCCCGTATGATCCTCTCAGTGACGTATTTCTGTAAAGCAGCTCCACTGTAGCCCAGACTGCGACCATCTTCGATAAACTGGGACTCGCTCATTATCGTTGGCTATTACAGCAAAAACACTACCACGTAATGAACCATGTAAAGCCTTAAACACCACCAACACTCATACTGGCCACCATTGTAATAACTTGATCGTGTTCCTCACAAAGTCAGTTTGTAAAGAGTTTTCGTCGGAGTATTAATAAAGACTTGTTCCCACAAGCATTTATTCAAATACAGTTTATTTACAGCACAGATGAATAATAGGTTGAAATTAACATACGGGACACGCATCTGAATAGGCAGGAAGCTAACTAACTCGTCTCACACACTATACCACCATCGAGGTAACCTTCGGTCTGGACACTTCATTATGGCAAACCCGCTATTTTGTTAGAAATAGTCCTTACATACTGTCTATACACTCGTTTGCGATCACAGTTAACAGTTCACGTTTTTTGTTCAAAACGGAATCCGAGTTCGTGTAAAAACATTCTAAAACTTTTTGTGCACTTTCACTTTGATGTATGCGGTTACTTCCTACATTATTTACAGGCCTTGATCTAGGGACATCATTCCTACTAATTACTTGTCCTCCATCTCCTCTGACTGTCCGTGAGCAGCCGGTGTTGTCTTGACAGCTTGGAAGGGATTGACCTGATTTTCCGTGCCTTTCCGCCTGATTCTCTCCTGCCACTTCTTACGAAAAACCGCCCTCTCTAAGGGGGTGGAATCTTTCTTTACAAAACTGACTTGTAATCAGCGGATTCTCCAAGCATTCTCGCTGTTTTCAGCACGCTCCAGACCTGAGCAGAATCCTTTACAGTCACCAGCAAAGGTTTGCATGTGTTGGCAGCATCCTTCGAGCGTAGCCTCTTGCAAGATATAACATCAATCGAATGTGTTGAGTACCTTGCTGCAGCAGTCTACAACAAAGGCCGTGTCATCCATCACTCGGTCCTTCGCATCAGATGCGTTACTTTCAGGAATCCCAAACCAGACTAGGTTGGCCTTCCTACGTTCTCTATCAAGTAATTCACGTGAGCTTTCACTAGCGACTTCAGATAATATAACTAATCACTATTGCATGATATCTTCAACTAGTTATATTATCACTATTATGAAGTTGATTTAAGATATTATCAATTTTGTTAACTATTAAATTCGAACATGCATGTAAATTTTCGGTTATCCTTTTTGGTCCTGCCATGATGTCATCCGCCTGGCAGCAATGGCTGTCTAAGGCTGAGCGAAAATTAGAGAAAACGGCGAACGAACTGTTGAGAAAACGGCGAACGAGCGTTTCGGAATGATTCGTTTAGCTACATTGAGAGTTTAGCCAGTTGAGGTGTCTGCAACTAACGCACCGATTTGTTTCAGTGTAGGTAGCTCTTGTCGACTTAGTGCGCAGCGCGCGTGGATGGAAGGAGCGTGTGTCTGTGTCGTGTCAGCGGCATCTGCGTTGACTGACTAGGGTGCATATGGAGAAATGAGTGAGACGTTGTCCAAATAGCAATGCACTTTTCGTCATTGTGATCAACAATCAAAATTGTTTGCAATAATGGCAGAAAATTACATTATTCCCATTCAAAATTAGAGAATTTTTTAGACTATCTAGAATTTAGAACATTTTGTGAATTGGAGCTGCCATTAATTTCAGCAAAGAAAGAAAGGAATTTGTGTACGGATCTAGAAAAATGGTTGGCTTGTCAACCTCCACATAATTTTGAATCAAAAAGGCATGAAGATATTCTTTTAGTGCGTGATCATAAAGCTCTTGGATATGAATTTACAATTGCTTGTAAATTATATATAACACAACAGGAAAACAAATTAACTTCTGACATAAATTCATTGGAAATTTTTTCCCGGAAGCACCGTTTAGCACGACCACATATTGTACCCATGCCGAATTATTGAAAAAAATCATATCAAAATTCACAGTATTGCTAGTAAATCAATTGTTTCATATTGCTTCAACAGACTCAAAACTTGGACGTAACTCCACTTACGACACCTCCAATCAGGCGTGAAGTTACGCACAAATTCTTGTACCTAGCTTCTCGTGCAAATGTTTTGATAATACCACCGCTAGAGTTACGTCTTCATAGCAGCACTTACGCAACACGCAAGTCTCTACGTGTACTTAGCGATGTTTTGATAATCCTGCCCCTGAGTCTCAGACCACTACACCACACGGCATACAGTTCTGGTAGTCGTAGTTTTCAAAAAGTATTATATGTGCGACTACCTCAATAAATTGGACTGCTAATCTTAGCAATACCGAATTGGGCGATTGAATTGCGTATGCGTCGTAATTCGAAAATATATATTCACGTCGTATCGCAGTATTT